AACAAATTACTTTTGTCTCCGTAAATCAGTAATTAACTCTCGAACTTTTATAAACACTTGATTGGGTTTCTTGAACACTATTTCCTAAAGACAACATAATATGTTAAAAATATATTATATTTTTTTAATACAATAACTANTGTTAAAAATATATTATATTTTTTTAATACAATAACTACTTTAGACGGCAAAGTATTTAAATATCATTTACCTTTATCGACTCTTGAGAACTGCATACCTCAGGATCAGAAATATAATCCAAGTACTTCAATAACTTGACGTAGGACACTTTTTTTGTATCGGAATCAGTAAATCTATAAGCAATTTAAACATCAATTACTAATTTTAACACTTAATAAACACCTATGAACAAAAGTTCATGAACACAATTAACCTATGGCAGTATTACAATAATATTAATTATAACATTTTATAAAACTATATGACCTTACATGTTTCTTATTTTTATTAACATATATTTTATTATTTTTATGCTGCTGTTATGGGCGCAAATAGCGGGGGTGCTTCAGCATCTTCAGTCTTAAATCATTACCTCAGTCAAAAATCTGTATCCCCAGACCTTCTTCACTAAAGTAACTTGAAAATCATTTTATGGAGTATTTTTTGTCAGTAATCGACAATATTATATAAATTGAATAATGAACTTTTTTCTATACAATTTAAATTGTTTCGTGGTTTTTTTGATAATCAAAGATATAATAATAAGGTATACGGAAAAATTATTTTAATATAATGTTTTATTAGTAAAAATAGTTTTTTGTTTGTTCAATGACCCTGGTAAGTATTAAAAGAATGTTTTTGGGCGATATGGGGGTGAAGCCCTTCAGGGGTTTGTGAGCATAACATAATTTCAGCATTTTTGCTTTAGTTGCACCCATAGTTTTTAGTAAATTTAATCAGAGGATGCAACTAAAAAATATTCTAACATACTATCATATTATTTTTCCTTAAAAAATAGTGATCCGTGACTCATAAACATAAAATGTAATGTGTCATATACGTCTAACAGTGGGTACCATTATTTTTTTCCGATTTCCTTATTATTCTGTACTTTCTTTACAGTTATACAGATATATGAGCTATTTTTTTCATAAAAATACGTTATTTATTTGGAATATATTTTAAAGAATTGCAATTCAAATAAATCCGAAAAGACAAATTTACAAACAATTATTCTCAAAAATTCAATAGAGCTATAGAAATCGGTAATAACCGTATGAATAAAAGAAAAATTAAAAATAATTTTGAGTTTATTAATATATTCTTTGTAGCAACAACAGGAAAACGATCCCTTTTGTTTTTTGACACGCACACATCTGGTGCTATGTATTGCATTGAAGTCACCGACACCATACAAGAAGTGTAATTTAAAAATATTACAGACAGACAGATTCAAATAACCTCAAAATATTATAAATCAATATCAAATTTACTGCGTCCAACAATATTGCGTTTTAAAATTTAATAAATTTTACATATGTTAATAATGTCTATAATTAATAATTTATTTTAATTTGTCGATTTTACACTAAATGTATATTTGTTTTTTAATTTCTATTAACAAGCTAATTTTTAATAATAATAATTCGATTTGTTTGACCATTCCCAAGTAGTTGAGATAATGAAGAAAAAGATGAATTCGATATTTAAAATTATTTTGCCAAGTTTTTGGGGTAGTCAAAATTGATTTCTATATTTTTAAAGAGTTCCTTCTAGAGTCATTTAATTTATTGATATAATATTAAAAATGTTTATACAATTAAAATAAAGTTAACCTTACTTTCTCTCTCTCTCTCTTAAAAAAACTTTTGTGGACTTATTTAAAATCTGTAATAATATTATATTCGTTTAACTATTTTTAAGAGCAATTATAATAACAAATTTATTAAATATTTCAAAATTATTCAAGAAGAAAAATTGTTTAGTTATCTTATCATTATACGCTTAAAATTTACTCACTTTTTCAGTAACATTTCAATAATTTCTTCTGAGAGAGGAATCTTTGAACTTTTAAAAGCTTTCATTGTGTTGTCTCGATCAAGATAGCCATCGCTTTTATTATAATAATTTCTTTTTTTAAAGTTTATAGCTAACCCGTCAAAAGATTCAAACAAATGTCTTTTTAACTCGTCATGAACAATGCTTCTTAACTTATCGTTATATAATTGACACTTGTCATCAAGTTTTTTGTACTGTAAAGCTATTACTAAAATAGAATGTTGACTTAATCTACATAATCTCTTGGTCATAATATCAACAAATTTTGTCCGCTCAACCAGATCTCTGCTTTCAAAATCTTCTGTGTATATTCTGTCAATGTCTGGCTCGATAATTTCGGCAACTTGATTCATAAGACATTTTACATCGCAGTGCGGAAACTTTTGGTATATAAATAAAAGACAATTATAGATTATATTCTCCTATAATTTTGAGATTAATATGTTTAACGTGCTATATCAAAACGATTGTGATTTGTGGGTTTTTTTTCGTGGGAATTAAACTCCGATAGCACATATGCTTAAGTGGAAATTAAAGATATTTGTAGGGTAGTGCGATGTAGTATTCAGTAGACGGCAGGTTCCGGAAAGAACATCCATTAAAGACACATTTTATTCTGCACGTGGTACACAAACCGGAAAACCCCCAAAAAGTATGTCATGCACACGCATAGGGTTGTTCAGTTCTTTTATTTCATTACTTATAGTTCATTTATTTCGTCGTTTATAAGTAAAAGTGGTAATAGCCAATTTCAATTATTATAACTATTCTTTGCTATTAACGCACGGTAATTACAATATAAAATTTACTCGCGAATACATATGGAAAAATAATTATAAAGAGAATAAAGAATGTAAACATAACCATAGACATTAATGAAAGGTCTAAGGATTATGTGGGTTTAACATATCATTAAGCCGCCGAGTTATTTTGTCATTGTATAATAAGATCACTAGTCAATAATTATTCTTTTAAATAACCTGCGGAATTTATGCTTATAATTTAATTTCATGCTAATAGTTTTTTCTATGAATCACATATCCTTAATTTCGCTGATATCGAACCTATTAAATAATAACGAACTCTTTTATTATTTAAAATTGTACTCGTCTAATTTTGTTTGAATTTGGACCCAAAAAGTAAAATTAAGTCCCAGTGGTAGATCAAGTACAACAAAATTAATTTTAACTAACACATTAATTAACTACCTGTATTGGATGATTCATCATGAACTTCAATGTTCTATCATCCACATCAGCGAGAAGAAATTTATAACTATCTATTGTAACTTCATTACCGGCGTACAGATTTAAAATGGTTGGAATTTGATTATCACCTACATTTTGTAATTTTCGTTTTGAAATAAATTTTTTACCTACACAAAATTAATGTCATGTTAATGGAAAATTGAATTTTTAATCAAACATAAAATAGAAGAATTCAAAATTCTTAAAACAATTATATAATCACCTGCTTTATTTCCTTTCATTTCAAAAACAGAAAAACTTTGATCTCTTAGGTGATATTTTATAATAAAATCATTAGTTCCATCATTTGGTGGTTGAAATAAAGCTTTAGCTTTAAATATTAAGTAATCTATGTCTACATCAGATTGAAATGTACTTAATATAATGTTATCATTGCAGATAGACTCATTGTTGACCTCTACATTTGACGTTTCTTTTTTTGCTTCGGACGAATCAATAGACAAAAAATTATCTGAAATACGACACATATAATCAAAACTTTAATGAAATTTTAATAATACCAACAATTTATTATACTCAATTGTTAATGACTTCAAGACAAGGGAAAATGATTATGTTATTTATTGGTAATTTATGCACAAAAATAGTATTTTATAAAGTTTGACATTTGTTACATTACACAAAAACTGTATACATTTTTTTTAATAACTGTTGTACATATTTTTTGTTAACATTTTTATATAATAATATATTGAACTTCAAGTTAAAATGCTAAGAATACAAAAAAGTACAGACATCTGTAATTTATGTTGTATAAAATTAGTGTAACTAAAAGAAATGATAGAGAAATAATATTTTCATCATTGAGTGTAAAACTCAGTGATGAAAATTGTTTTTTTTCCTGGTAAAATAGAAACAGTTTAGAAATTTATTATGACCAATAAAAGTTGTTGGTGCCATCATCGATTGCATGTCGAACCAATTTATCAGTGTATCGCGTAAAAGAGAATAGTAAAAGTTCAAAGTGAATGTCTTGCACTACCCAATAATTAGAACTAGTATCTTGTTGTATTTGACCTTTTATTCAATTACAATTTTCACTAAAATTGTTCATACTTAAATCGTTATCAAGGTAAAATTGTTTCGTAAACTCGTCACAATAGTTTAAAACAATGTTGCGGCCGTAAACATTAATTTCCTTTGCAATGTATAAATCATACCACTTGTAATACGCATTGTTGGAATGTTTCGAATTCGAGAGCGGGTCAAACGAGTACCATCGATTTAGTGGGTTTACGCCCAAGACGTTGAGCAAATTGTACGGTTCGCAAAACCCAGGTGGTTTAATATAATTGTAATCCTAGAAAGTACAAATGTATATGTTTTAGTATTCAAATATCAAACTATTAGTATTGAAGTGCATCAGTAAATAGAAAATAAATCATTCAGTACTTTAGGTATTTTTTGTCTTTTTAAAAACGTCTTGAGTTTTCTATTTTCTTCGTGTTCAACGATTTTCATTGTATCGTCAATTAAATAGTATTGAATATCAAAACTATGTACAACTCCGTCGGCACTTTGACGGTCGTCCCAAAATCCTTTAAAGTTTAATATACCATCAATGTTTGTTTTACGCCTATGCACAACTCCATCCGTATGACTTCCCAATTCGTTTTGATGCTAAAATAATTAACTATTTTAAAGGTATTGCTAAAACTGAAATTGCTATTTATCAATATAGGCCTTATTACATGCCTTTTTTTTTTTTGTTTGATTCAAGACAATGCTAACCAAGTTCAAAATTCTAATTACTAAAAATAATTCAAAAATGAAACTTTCTATTCAATTTTTGTTTTTTTGCAAAAGGGTATTTTTATTCATAAATAATTTTTAAAGCACATTCAAGGCACAAAATGATTTTTGATTTACAAAATGAAAGTTTAGTCCACTAAAAATTATATTTTCTAATTTTCAACAATTTAAAATATAATATAAAGAAAATTTAGCGACTTTTTATTAAAAGTTTTTTTGATTTATATATATATAGTAATTTCAACAGATAACTTTTAATTAACGTTAATATGATAATGATAATATCCAATGAATTTACCGCATTTTGTTTTGACATAAGCGAATCATCATCGGGCATCGGTAAGTTGTCTGGCACATCAACCCCAACATTTCTTAAAAAGTCTCTAGTAAAACTATCAGCAGCTGTTATGATGAATTTTTTACCATAAAACTCCACAGTAGATCCCACGTTGAGATCAAACAAATGGTAATACTGTCCATCAGAATTTGGTAGTGGAATTGCATGCCTCTTTATTAAACATCCTATAAATTCAAATTATGATAAATAAACAAATGTATGGCATACGTATTTCCCTTATAATNAAATAAACAAATGTATGGTATACGTATTTCCCTTATGATATGAACATCAATATTACACGGCCTTTGAAAATTCTCACAGAGAATTGTATATTTGTTGTAAGAACTCCCATGCCACCAAATGCTGCAATTAAAATACGTATACTTGTACTTTGTTTGATAAAATAAAATAAAATATCATTTATAATTAAAAATGCTATATGAACATAAGAAAACTCTGGGTTAGGAGTTTGGTATAGGCACCTTAATCGACAGTATTTATTTGACGTTCACGATTATCTGTGTTTGGTGATTATTTCGAAAATATAGAATAATAGTACCAGGAATTTATGAGATACTGTTATAGTCGCAATTAGTATGTCTGAAAAGATATTTATCAACATTTTCTCATAAAAATTGAAAAGAGTACCAGGGATTCAGGAAATGTTTGTCACGCAAGCCATCGATAGAACAACATAATGCTGTTCTCTATATGGAAAGCGACAGAACGCGATAGTCGATAATTACGCTGGACGGTGATTTCTCAAGTGTGCTTCATTTAAGTTAATGACATTGAATTGATAACCGTGTCGTTAAGTTACTGTCAACACCATATACTTCATTTAGGTCTCTTGTCTCAGAGGTATTTAATTTGTGTATTTCAATCTGCGCGGCAAGTATTTTACCAGAAAGAGGGATGATAGCTGTTTTTCACTAAGCACTCCCTTGCCTATTAAATCGGACATTCTGTAGCCAAAACTCCTATTCAGTCACAATACGCAACTGCTTAATTAATTTGACTATTTTCTGTGATAAGTGAACATATATTATATTCAAATCATACCATATATCTATAGGCAAGTCCACTTTATGAATACTTTATTATCAATACTAAATTACCAATATATATTTTTAATAACATATCTGTTAGCTTTTATAACACTAAATAATTTTAATAAATTATTATTAAATGTACAAAATCAAGTTTATTCATTTTAGATAAAAATATATATACATTTTTTATGACATCGATATTAGCAGGTACACAGCATTGTTATTATCAATGATAGTAAGGTACATTGTTGTGAGTTTATAAATACACTAACTGATAATACAAAAAGTATATCTAATGATAGTCATAATTGATAATAAACAATCCGTGACTGTGATAGCAATATCATAAAAAACCAATTAGCTACCTATATTTGTAATCCCTTGTGTTTTATACCTATATATTAACTCAAAAATATGAAACTTTAAATGTTTATATCTAATAAACAAATTAGTTTTATTAAAAATTCAAATGCCATTTATTATTGGATTAAAAACTCAAACATTTTATTTAATTAAAAATACGTGTTACCATTTAAAAAAACTNATTTTATTTAATTAAAAATATGTGTTACCAAAAAACAAAGTTGACCCCCTTCCAAGGCATCAGGGATGAACTTAAAAAGTATTACATAATTAATAATTCAAGAATAATGTGTAACTAAAGATAGTAATAAAAAAAAATGTTTAAATTATTATTATTCTGTAAGTAATTGAGTGGGTTATGATTAAAAATTCACTCTGTATATGTAAGTAAATTTACCTTGAGGTATACCGCTGTTGATAATGATAGGTTCAATTACTTTAATTGTGTTATCTTCAAGGAAGTAAATTATTTTACATTTTCTTATTTTATTACTGCATCCAAAACTATTAGCTGACATATTTTCGAAATAAGCATCAAATGACAACGCCTACAGACATAAATATACAATACTTCTACAAACATACTGAATTTTCTATTAAATTTATAATTTATTATAAATACAATAAAATAACGATAACAAAAAACGTATTGGTATTGATTGTCTGATACCAAGTTCAGTAATACCTCTTTTAAGTTCCTTTTTTTGACAGACACATTGACTATTTTGTGAGAATAAAATAGAAAAGTTAGTTTTCTTTACTATTATCTGAACAAAATTTTTGATTGTAAATATTAAGTTTACCATTTTATCGAGTTTTATGGAAAATCGTCTCTTTTTTGCAATTTTGATTATTAGTTTTAATTCATTTTTTTTTTTTTTGAAAATATATTAAATAAATACTTTGAGTAAGTTAACTATAGATTCTTTTAACGAAATCCAAAAAATTACAATGGGTTTTATTTAATAAACATAATAATTAAACAATTAATTGATGACATTCTTATTTTGTATATAAATCATGGCACATGTAAGTTATAAACTAGAGGATTTTACGAGAGTCAAAAAAATTAAAAGAAAATATAATAAATATATTTGTTTTATTTAATACCTGTTTATCAAAAATTAACCAAGTCGGTTTTAAATTTTGTTTGCTATCGATGTTATAAATTTGCATTGAGCTTTTTTTATGATGATAAATTTTGTCATTTTTTAAATGTAATGACCTCACTATGGGTACTCCATTCATAATGTCTAAATCTGGAAATTTCTTATGATCGATTTTCATATTCTACAATTCGATGATACCATTTTAATTAAANTATCGATGTTATAAATTTGCATTAAGCTATTTTTATGATGATAAATTTTGTCATTTTTTAAATGTAATGACCTCACTATGGGTACTCCGTTCATAATGTCTAAATCTGGAAATTTCTTATGATCGATTTTCATAGTCTACAATTCGATGATACCATTTTAATTAAACTCAAGCAACATTATTTAAAGTTAAAAATGTTATATATATATATATTGTTAATGAAATAAAAATTATTTCATGCTTACTTTAATACACGTTTGAAAACCTGGTATCATGGGAAACATTACTTCAATTTTTTGATCAACGCTAATTAAATTTTATAAACTTTAACTATTCTATAAAATTATTTATTTAACTTTATTGAAATATTATATTGTTGAAATTTTGAGTTTAAACATGCGAAACGTAATGTTTTATCGATAATCCTTTTCAAAAATACTCCTTAGAAACGCATTTATTTAGGTGTTTTTTTATTTCTTTGATTACATAGAATTGTAATCAATTTATTTTTAACTTCTATGCGTGGCTGAAAAACTACTGATGTTACACAAAATACGTTAAAAACCACACAATTTGAATTATCAGCGTCATAGATTTGAAAAATTCCCCTTAAATCTCGTAATAAAGGGAAATGTTGTCAAAAAATTAGTTGTCATAATACAGTCAATATTTTTAGTTTTTACTTTATATTAAAACAATTTTTTTTTTAATTGTATGCTTTTTTTTTACTTTAGCGACAAATTTCACATTGTAGAACGATTTCAGAAACGTTTTATTTTTTTATGTTTCTTCGGAAAGCTTTTATTCGGCGTTTATAGTAAATTGATTAACGTTCTAGGATATTTCCAGAAATTGAAAGAAAATCTGTTTATTGGACTTTATAAAGTCTCACCCTGATGTAAACGAATAATACTATTGTTATTTTCCCCAAAATAATTCTTACTAAAAATAGTCTTTTATTAATTTATATTTATTTCATTTATAGATAATGGTTACAATATAATTAATTGAAAATTTTTTTTCAGGTACAAACAAATCATTTATTATTCAATTTATTACATGATAATTGCAAAACAATGAAACGATAATAGGCGTCTGGATAAAGGACTTTTTTTCAGGGGTCGAATATAGGCAATTTTACTTTTTTTTTCATGTTCTGCAGTGTCGTTGTGTGAGAAGTAAATGATTATTAGTGGAGTGTCTATTATTGGGAGCATTTTCGTTGTGTTATAGTCGATAACAAAACCGATTATGTATCTGCTTTACTTTTTGATGCATTACGATTATATTGATAGCGACACACATTTATTTTATGTAGTTTAAAAAACTGACAAACACGTTTTTATAACATATCCAAATAAAAAGTTTAAAATAATGTTTAAAATAATCTTAAAACTATAATGAATGAAAAATACTAGTATTATTGTGAAAAAAAGCGTCGGGCGCTCAATATACGAAAAATATAGCATAAAGCGCCCACGCTTTTTTCACTATAATACTAGTATTTTTCGTTCATTATTGTTTTAAGCTTATTTTAAAAATTATTTTTAACTTTTTAGTTCGATATGCTTTAAAAGCGTGTTTTTCAATTTTTTTTAACTATATTTTTTTTTCACTTTTTAGTTTTTTATGACATTGCTGTCACGTCACGGAATGTTTATTGTAAATTATTACTATCATTAGATATAATTTCTGTATTACCAGTTTTAGTGTTTTTATAAACTCACAACAATGTGTCTTATTACCATTGATAATAAAGACTATACAAATACCCTACTTTATGAATATCGTCATAAAAAACCATTAGCTACCTGTATTTGTAATCCCTTATATATTATACATGTATATTAATTCAAAAAAATTTGAATCTTTAAATGTTTATATTTAATAATAAACAACAAAAAATTTGTTTACATATATATATAATATTGATGACAAACGTGCATGTACAGGTACGAAAACCAAAAATAAAATTATACAGAGATAGTGTTACGGGCTACTGGTGAGAGGGGTGGGGTGAATGCGTTACGACAGTCTAGTCTCAAGGCCATAGACGACAGGATACGCGAGAATAACACGTGGCGCGCGGAGGGTTACAACTTACAAACAAACATACATACTGGTGAAACTAATATAAGCCTGTTAAAAACTATAGTTTAGCACCAGCCTTACCGTAAATACTTATAGACACGTCATGATTTCACAAATTTTAATCGATTATAAAAATTATTTATTTTCGACGAGTAAGAAAAATTAAATATTTACAGAAAACAAGTTGAATCATATGGAATCCACTTCGATTATTTTGAAGTTATACAACTCCAAAAAAAACTTATTTTAATTATAAGAATTCAATTTACAAAATTACATTATTTACACAGTAAAATATTCAAGTTTTGTAAGCCTGTTCTTATGGGAAGTCCTTTGTCAAAACGAGAGTCAATTATCTCTGGTAATAGACAATACAAGTAGAACTTTTCTATAAGTGGCCACATTTTATTCCACACTTCATTATTTTTTTTCAATTTTATCAATTATCATACCTAAATGAATGTTATATTAATAAATATTTGAGGTCGTACATTTAAGTAGTAACTGCTATTTATATATTGATTTTTACTTTATTTTAAATTTACATTGTAAGAGGTAGAGGAGGAAGACCAAGAAAGAGATGGAGATATGTTATTGAATGCGATATGAGGACAGCTGATGTGAGCGTAGAGGATGTGGGAGATCGTATCAAGTAGAAGTTTAGGATAAGGGTGGCCGACCCCAAGTAGTTGGGATTAAGGCGAGGATGAAGAAGATTTTAAATTTACATTGTCCTGTTATAGTTAAACAATAAATAACATAAAGTTTAATACATAGATACCTTTAGGAGTCCATACAGCAAAGTAACAATATTGCCGTGTTGTTATATGTAACTGCCCCTGTACTTGATAATAATAATCATGTGATTTTTTAAATTTAAATTTATCGTCGTCAAAGGTCATAAAATTCAATTTTTTTTTTCGAAATCTTCTTTTGGTGTGAAATCTTTTATTGAAGCTGAACACTTGGTTTCAAGAATCGAGTCGTCATCAATTAAACCATCAGGGCTAGCTGCTAAGAATTGCAAAGTTTTATGAACAAATAAACCACAAGCTTTAATATTCATACCAAGCCTGTATTGTAAAAATACTTTTGCCAATGGTTCACTTTGAATACCATACCATACCTTAGAAATTTAAAAATCATAATTCACAAAACAAAAAATTAATATAAAATTATTCATAAAGTAAATTAAGCTAGTAGCAGCATTGCCTTGGAAAAAGTCGTATAAAATATACTTCACAGTATTTGATTGCGATGTAATAGCTCGAAGTTTGACAACTTTACCGAAATTCGAAGCTATAAATCGAAATTTTCGTTGTCTACGCCATTCATCACAATTTAATTGGCCTATTGTTCTATTTTCTAATTGAGCCATTTGATTATTAGTGAATAGAATTTTTGTTAAATATTCATTTTTTTTATCTTCAAACTTAGAAACAGGCATATTGACAATTACTTTTACTGTCTAAACTTGTCCATAAACTTTATTAGGTCCATGGTTAATTACTTTCCTCTTACTTTTATTTCTAAAATAAATTATATTATCTTAATTAAATTCCGAAAATTTTAATTATTCTTTTTTTTTTATGTTACATATGCCCGGATTGGCTCAATATTAATTTTCTTCTAGTATGTTTATTTCGTTCATTTGTAGCTTTATTGATATTTCTTTTTTTGTTTATAATCCTGAACTGAATTTTGTGGCTTTTTTTGTAAAAAGCTGATGTAACTTGGTCTATAGTTGTATGCGGTTACTGCTGTATTACAACGGACTTTATATTATCCTTATATAAAATATGATGAAAAAAAATTGGTGATAAAAATATTGCATAAAATACATTGCCATATACCTTTTAATGAATAATTGATTCGTTTACCACCCGTATACATAGCTACAATGCTATTGTAATTTTCAATACAATTATTATTTCTAAATATATCAAACTATCATTATGGTGCGCTACAAGATTTTTTGCTGCCATTATATCCGACCAAAGAACAAACTTGATCATTTTAGGGATTTCATTTATTCCCTCTGGTTTTACACCCGTACAAAAGTAACTAAAAAAAAATTTTAATTCCTACTATAAATGCTAGTATTTAGTTAACATATAAAGCAAGAATATTTTAATTTCAATTTGGACATACTTAGCACATTTGTCATGATAACCAAAAACATGATAATGTCCATTGTCTATGTCTTCTTTTAATAATCATAGTTCAGAGGTACGTCCATTCTCATCCTAATTTTATACGTTTGTCTTTTAATTTTTTTCTTAAAACTCCTGGAACAACGCTACCATTAGAACTTTTTCTTTTTGTTGCTATATTCAATAATTTGTTTAAATAATTTCGAAGTATATGATTTGTACATTCAAGTTTTTTTACTTCAAAGTTACTATGTAATTTTGAAAGCTAGTAGTTGAGTAGGTAAAATTAAATCTGAGTCTTTAGCAAAATTATAATACTTATAATACAATAATAGATAATATGTAGGCTTTTATTGTGTGGACTCTGTCGTGAAAATTTTACTGCTTTTCCATTATACTTTTAATCTATTAGTGATAAAATAGTGGGAAAATGTTGAAATGTAATTTTTTATCAGTACTTTATATGGAAATTATAACGAATAAGATAGTTAGAGGTCAGATCAAAATATAAATAAATGAGCAAACACAAATNCAGAGGTTATATCAAAATATAAATAAATGAGCAAACACAAATATAAAATAATACAGGATTGTATTTTATTTTTTCAGTTACTTCTAGGTTTGTTAATATTTATAAAGTTTGATAAATAGAAGAAAATTGAATGATGCCAGTGGCAACAGCTGGTGTAAAGGATTTTCTCTAAATACCATTTTTTAATAATCATAGATTAAAAATGACGCTCCAGAAGTCTTATAATAATTCTTCTTCTTCTTTTTCCTCGCCTTAATCCCAACTACTTGGGGTCAGCCAAGGTCTTATAATAATTAATATACTTAATGTGATTAAATATTTTTGCATTCTCTTTTCTCATTAGGGCCCGAAAAATATGTTTAAGTAAGCAAAATCGTGTACTTAAATATCCCTCCAACACGAACTCCTAATTACGTTTCTGTACAGTAATGTTTGGTACAACTACATTAAAATTTAATTACAACTTTTATGCAAAAATTAAGCATGTTGTGTGACTTTCCTTGAACACACATTTCTTAAAGTATAGTGCCAACAAATACAAATTTATAAGGAGTAATAATTTGAAAATAATTTCATTATTTTCAAAGCATTCTAGATAAAATTATGCGTACCATACAAACTATAAAAAAAAATTGTAGTGTTAAGAGGTCGAATCAATAANTATAAAAAAAAATTGTAGTGTTAAGAGGTCCAATCAATAATTAATAATTATACATAGCAACACACTGGCCATTGTACTGTTTTCAATTCACGTTTTCGATCTAGAGTTTAATTTTATTCACGTAAGTTACAAAGACAGTATAAATCCAGAACTATATTCCTTGAAATTATTCAATTAATTAAATTCGAATCTTCGAATTGGATTGCATTAAAATATCTATTCCACTAATAGCAAAATAGTAACTAGCTAATATTGATAATAAATTCTTTATTTATGCCAGCAAATGATTTACGTGTTATCATTTTTAAATTATAAGTATTGTTATCATATATTATTTGGGAACTTGATAACTTCATTTCTGCATTGTGTAAAAAAAATTCCTTTCACTTTTATGAATTTCTGTTTATTGGAATGCGTGTTTTTATTTTTGTTTAAAAATGAATTTTCCCATACTAAAAAATGATCTTATATTACGAGTTGCTAGAGGTGAAGAAGTAGATAGGATTCCCATATGGGTAATGCGGCAAGCTGGACGTTATCTTCCCGAGTTTAGAGAGTTACGGTCGCGTCATGATTTTTTTACAATTTGCCGGACACCTGAACTGGCTTGTGAGGTTACCCTTCAACCTATAAAAAGATTTAATTTAGATGCTTCCATTATATTCAGTGATATTTTAGTAATTGTCCAAGCATTAGGAATGGATGTAGAAATGCAGCCTAGTGTGGGTCCAGTCATATCTGACCCTTTAAAGGAACCATGTGATCTAGCTAAACTAAAAGAAAATGTTGATGTACACAGTGAATTGGGATATGTTTTTGAAGCCATTACTCTTACGAGGCATAGACTTAATGGTCAAGTAAGTCAAGTAATTGACCAATAACTTGATATATTTATTTTCCTTAACTAATTTATAGGTACCTTTAATAGGATTTAGTGGAGCTCCTTGGACATTAATGTGTTATATGATAGAAGGAGGAGGATCTAAAACAATGTCCAAATCAAAGAAATGGCTCTATAAGTATCCAGAAGAAAGTAAACAACTACTTCAAAAACTAACTGATGTTATTATAAAATATATGGTAGAACAAGTCAAAGCTGGCGCTCAAATGCTACAAATTTTTGAATCTAATGCAGAGTATTTAAATTTAGAACTTTTTAATAGGTTTGTGTAAAGCAACATTCTGTTGTAAAGAAATAAAATATTTATATTTTAATATATTATAATATTATAATATATAACTATATTTGATGATAGGTTTAGTGGTCCATACTTATCAGCTATTTGTAAAGGAATAAAAAATGAATTAAAAGATCAAAGTGTACCTATGATCGTGTTTGCAAAAGGTGGTCATTATGCATTGAGAGAACTGTCAAGTTTTGGTTATGAAGTTATTGGTTTAGATTGGACTATTGATCCAATTCAAGCAAGACAAATTGTTGGTGATAATGTCACGTTACAAGGGAATTTGGACCCTTGTGCTTTGTATGGATCACCAAATCAAATAAAAGAGATGGTTCATGATATGAAATTAAAATTTACAAAACAAAGGTATATTGCTAATTTAGGTCATGGTATATATCCAGATGTTGATCCACAACATTTAAGAGCAATGATTGATGCTATACATGAATGATAATTTAAAAAAATTTTTTTTAATTTACATATTTATTATATTTAATTAGATTTTATAGTATGGAATTGGTCATAAAAATGTATGTTAATTATTTGGTAATATTGTGTTTTCAATAAAAAATTGTTATAATATAAAGGAGTCATTTAGTTCTATTACAGTTTCAAAAATAAAAAATTGATGTAAATGACTAATTAAAAAATNACACTTTCAAAAATAAAAAATGGATGTAAATGATTAATTAAAAAATGTGAACAAAATCGGCTTGTTCATAAAAATTAATATATTAACATCTATATTGTAGATAAATTCAAATTTATATGATATATTTCTTTTACATTTTAGAAAGGATTCAGAACTCATAACTTATGATAAATCTGATCAAGTTGTATTAAATTTAAAAACATTATTTCTATTAGTATCGAGATAATAATAAAATTTATTTTTACTTAAAAAGTATTATACTATATATAACAAGCAAATTTATCTTAGTTTAGAACAAATTTTATGATTTCATCTTCTTTATATCAAATGTGGTGAGATTACGAGATGCTTGAGTATGAATTTTGCTTAGTCATTTTTTATATTAGGGGCATGAGAGTAAATATTTTTATTTTAAAGTGAAAATTATAATTTTGAAATCTGTATGAAAGATAAATTACCTTATGAAAGAAAATATAAATTTATCAAAAGATACTGAATGCTATTTCATATATTTTTAAGAAATTAGATTCCACAAATTTCGTCCATAATTATTCATAAAATAAGTTTCATGTCTAAAAAATATAACAAATCATACAGAACCGATTTATTTTAGCTTCGATGCGAATTAATTTCGAGGTATTAATTTTACTCTTTTTTTATCTGTCGCCATTTTTTTTTAGCTTTCACTGGACCGATTTCTTTCATAAATACGTCAAAACATCACTAATGATATTTTGAATATCATGAATGAATGTAGTTGAAGACATTACCTTTAAAAAGTGAAAAAATTTCCCTATAAATAGAGGAAATCTACAAAAAAATTTTTAAAATCGGCAAATTCTGACATTTAGTTTTCTTAAAACTGTCATAACTTTTTGAAAAATGAACGTATCAAAATAACTTTTTTTTTATTTAGAAACCTTAGGTATTTTCATGTTATTTGACATAATTTTCTTGAAAACTGACTTTTTACTTGTCCACAGAGGGATTCAAAATAGTAACTCTTTCACAAAATTTAATGTTTTCAACCTAACATTTGTAAAATGTTTCAGAAATACAGCGTCCTTAAACATATGTTAAATAAAAGCTTGTTATGTACTATAAATTAAAAAGAAAAATTTGTCATGACGACCTATCTTCTATTTGCAATGAGTTGAACAAAAAATAGGAGTTCATTTTGCTATTAGAATAATCCACTAATTCCTTAAAATTAAACTCTATCTTCAGACTTATATTGAAGCGTTTCTTATGATAATAATTTTAATCATTGTCTGATAAAATTTATACTTGTCCCAACTATGCCCACGATCCCACTGTGCTAGTTTTTTTTTTTAATAACACTAATTGTAAACAAAAAAAATTGTACCTTTAAATATAACAAGGTTACACTATCAGTGACAGATTTATGGAGGGGACCCACACACCAATATCACATTATTAAGTACGCTAGGTAAGATTGATACATCTTCCAAGTAAATTTTATTCTTAAAGGACCCACCTCCGGAAATTATTGAAAGGTCGCAATTACAAACAATTATCTGCAGTTTAAAATTAACTATAATTTTTCAGCAAATATAAATTAAATTGAAATTAATTGTATAAAAAAATAAACATTCACATTTTTATCATATTAATTTTCCAAAAACTACCATTATAATATCAAATCAAAATTCGATTTAAGAACTTAAAATTGCTCAATTTTTTCATTGTCTATAGAAATATTAAATTTTTTAATTTACCTTTGATAATCACTTTACTTTAGCATTGCCTTAACCTTTAAAATGGCAATCAAACTGTCTGAGTTATATTTATGGTCTTATTACTACTGAAGGAACTTCCTTAATGCAACAGGACATTACTATTATCAAAATTCCAACACTATTTTCTGGGGAAATGATTATTTTAACAGAAAATTGTTCATTATTATACAGCAACTTTAATAATAACATATGCTTCAAAAAGGTAGCAAAATAAAATTAATTAAAATAATTTTAATAAAGCTACAATTATTCATTTTGTGATCACATGAAATGAATTCTTTAATGTACAGTTACGCAACTGTGATTAGTTTGAAATAATTTAGAGTACTTTAATAAGAACTATGAACATTTCATAACAGAATTATTTTCATTAGATGATATTAAAACAATTAGCAATATAAAGTCAATAGGAATAATAATAAAGTGGATTTTTTCTTAGTTTGAATACTACTATTGTGTCTGATTATTATCACAGATATAATTTGTTCAACAAAGTACAAATGTTTTATCATAGACATAAGCAATTATAAACACTAAATTAATTTTTACATACGAATGGTTCATACATATGTAATATACTTCTGGAAGTTTAAAAACAGGATGCAGAGAAATAAAAGGTATTATTACTATTAATAATAATAATAAAAAAAGTTTAAAATGAAAATCATTTTTTTAAGTAAAAAACAAGGAACACTAAAAATGATGTGCACTAATATATTAATTGGCAAACAGAAAGTATAGACTGAATCCTTCAACTTTTGGTTAAAAAAAAGTAGAATTGTATTTTAATATATAGAATAAATATCTAGTATTTATTACACGTTAAATAAATTGTATTCGCTTGGTAAAGAATAAACTGGGATACTGTAAGACATGGATTGGTAAGTAATAAAGAATGTTAGTGAGATGCGCATTGTACATTTCTGGTTGGGCCATCTTCATCATTGTATGCTTCACGTCTTTCACGTCTTCTAGATTCATACTCTGGATCCATCTCGATCAATGAAACTTCTTCAGCATTTTCTGGTATAGTCTCAACTGGCCTATAGAAATATAAAATTAGTTCTATGGATAATATTATTAAATTAATTGTAATCTATGATATTTTTATAATATTTAAAGAAATTTTTGACAGTATTAATCAGAGCTAAGAACCAAAATAATTTTAGTTTCTAAACTAAATTATTGGGAAATAATTCCCATAGTCAATAACAAAACAAGTTAGGTGTAATTGTTTTATCTTTTGATGCAATATGTTGATTTAATAATGATGCACATTTATTTTAAGTAGTATAAAAAACATAGTTTAGCACAAACCCCATGATTTCACAAATTTAAAAATTTGGTTATATATATATATATAAATGATTTATTTTTAATGAGTATGAATAATTAAATACCTCAAGTAAAGACTACGTTAAATCATGACATTCACACATTGATTATTTTGAAGTTATAAAATTATCGAAAAACTTTAATTTGAATTAAAAAAGTATTTACATCATACAATTACACATATAATGTTTATGTTTTACAAGTTGTTCTTATGGGAAGTATTTTATTAAAATAAGAGTCAATTATCTCTGTTAATAATGAAAAATCCATAGGGAACTATTTTAAAAGTGGCCACATTTTATTCCATACTTTATTGTTTTACAATTATGTTAATAACCATACTTACTAATAAGAACTATTAATTTTCAGTCCAAATGTGCACCTAAATCATATATTTTTTTAAATATCACTTATACCTTTTGCATTCCAAGCATCTCATATTATACTAAATAAAGGTTATCTAACTCATCATTGTTTAAGTCAAATCAGCTTATTATAAAAAGTGATTTACTTTTTTTTATCAGATGAAGTTTAAAATTTACTTTTATAATTAATGTAAGAGATTCATATATTTAATGATCAAGCAATTTACAAATGTTTTTGTGCCTAAAGAAAACACAATATTGTGACAGATTTAAAGGGAAATTATTAACTTTTGTGCTGAATACATAAACAAAATATATTTTTTGATCTTTTAACATATTGTTGAATAACAGCCCAGTATTTACAGATATGAATAGATCTGAACAGACACAAACAAAAAAATATCATAATAAAATTAATACCTTCTCATTTTTCTACCAAAGCTAAGAAAGTGAATCAAAAATTATTTTTATATTACGTGTACCTTTACCAGGTATTTTTTTTAGGCACCAGTTATTCAATATTAATACATTATTTTTATTCTTTTTTTCTTTGACAGCAATATTATCTTACAATTACCCAATATGTTAGCGAAACTTAAACATTGGAAAATAACAATACTAATTGTTTTCATGCTATGCAGTGGTAGCTTTGTGAGTCATTAGATAAAAGCAAATAATCAAATATCATATATATAGGTGTTATATCAAGTGTATATTAATTTGTAACCATTTTTAGACAGTCCGTATTGTCTTACACAACTATGGGCCATAAAAAGGCTGCTCCGGATAACGCACACGAGCATGTCAAATATAACAACTACTGTTTGAAAATCATTAGTTTTAACATAGAAAACTACCTATTTTTGACTAAAAGCCTGTACCTAGACACCTTAAAATATATGATTATAGGAAATAAATTTATTATGAAAGCTCAATTGAACTAAAAATTTGACTTCAGAAAAGTTTAATAAGTGATAAAAATATATTGGTTAAT